GCAGAGATCCTGGAATGTTCCTGAGCAGATGGGGCAGGTGTGAGCTTCCACCCAGGCCACCGCAAGGCACGAAGAAGTCGACATGCGAGCAGCCTTCAGGACCCTTAGCTTTCTAGAGGAACATTTCTAGAATGCTCCATGGTGACTATCACAGATGGCACGCTGGGCAAAGGCAGCCAGACCAATTTACGTGAAGCTCAAGAGCAGGCGAAATAACACCACAGTGACAGACCCGAGACTGGGGGCTGTCTGGGGTGGCAGGTGGGATAGTGGCCGGGAAGGCACTTGAGGGAGCCTTCTGGGGGCCTGGGAATGTCTGTAACTCACTGAGGGTGGTGGTCATACAGGCATGTATGTACATGATCCACCGCACTGCACATAGCTGTGAGCATTTTACTCTGTGACTATCAGACCTCCGTTTAAAACAAGAAAGATTTTTGTCCCTGAAACCCATAGGGAGAACCACATCACGAGCGCCAGAAAGGACCAGCAGATAGCACAGGTCTCTCCAGAAGGATGGAGAACCTCTTTAGAGCACCTCACAGCACAGGCAGTGTGTGTCTCGGGACCTGGCTGCACAGGTGTGTGTCTCCCTGGGACAGGCCATCCTCTTGGGACTGGGCCACGCGGCATGCCCAAGCGCAGAGCCAAAGGCAGCACCAGGCCCTTCCACGGTCTTGACAGACTTCTGAAGTTCTTAAAACACCATTCCATGCTGAGAAAGGTACAGGAGGTGAGTATCCCACCCGGCAGGCTGAGAGGCCATGGGGAAGGGTCTCAGGGTTTGGGCACGGGTGTGGGATCCTAGCAGCCAGATCCCATTTGGACAGGTATGGCGCCCACCCCTACCCCGTACGGTGCTGTTTTGAAGAATCCCACTGGTGTGTCCCAGTTTTGGCCAGGCCGGTCTGCTCAGCCAGTGACAGGCATGCCCGTTTGCAAAAGGGGTGTCAGGTAGGCTAGGATTCCAGGGAGACAGAATTCTTATTTCTATCACCTCTTATAGCTAAGAACCCGAAGTGACAACTGAACCACAGAGGTCCCCAAACCCGTGTTGATTTATTCTGTGTGAGAACCACCTATTAGGGAAATGGGTTGGTCACTCCTCGGGCCATTTGCAGCTGGTTTAGGAGTTCGTGGGTTTGAAGCTCTTTGCTCAAGACTTAGCTCCTGAGCCGAGAAGTGCCTTACATGCAGACACTGCCTCTTGTGAGGAATCCTAGAACCGAATCCCCCGGGCTCCAGGAGTAGGGCCACTGGGGGGCGCCCGGGAGCAGGTCTGGGGTTCTTGACTCTCTCACAAACCCAGGCACCCAGAGAAGTGAACAAAACTGGGTTTCTTTCTGGAAAACAGCCTCACCTGCCAGAGCTGTTGATAGGCATGAAGGTGAGGGAAAAAAGGTCTCAGGAAGAGGTGTTCCTTCTGTGTCAGACTTTGTTATTCCATGACCACTAATATTTCAGTTTTCCTTTACCATGGCATGCTCCTGGGGACGTGACAGGCTGTGTGTCACATTCTCAAATACGGGGACTTGAGAAGGTCTTAGTAGGTGCCTTCTGCAAGAACCAAGGGACCTCTCCATTATAATTTTCAGCTCTGTAAATTCTTAGGACATCACCTCTCTGCGCCTCGGATTTTGTGAAATGCAGAGAAGGACTCCCCCACCCCCACCCCCAGCCCCCAGGGTTGTGAAGAACAAAACAGATCAAAGCCCTCAGCCCAGGCCTGATCCAGAAACACTGGGTCTTACCATTCCTACGGCAAGGACCCTCCCGGGCAGGTGACGGGCAGTCACTTTCACAAGTGGTGGCCGGGGAGTGGCTGGCGTCAGAGGGGACCGGGGTGGGGGGGCCTACCTGCACGATCTCCAGCATCTCGCTGCGGCTGATGTAGCCGTTGCCGTCCAGGTCGTACATGCTGAAGGCCCACTTGAGCTTCTGCTCCAGCTTGCCCCGGGACGTGACGCTCAGCGCGATGATGAACTCCCGGAAGTCGATGGTGCCGTCCCCGTTGGTGTCGAAGGTGCGGAAGACGTGCTCGGCGAACTTGGAGGCGTCGCCATAGGGGAAGAAGTTGGCGTAGATCTTCTTGAACTCGTCCACGGTCAGGTGGCCGGTGGGGCAGTCCTTGAGGAAGCCCTTGTACCACTCCTGCAGCTCGTGGTCCGTGAACTCCGTGTTCTCACGCAGGTCCTGCAGCACCTCGGGCCGCAGCTTGCTGTTCTGCTTGCCCATGGTGGCGGCTGGTCACACCTGCAAGGCGGGGGCGTCAGCGGGGGGGCGCCCGGGGGGGCCGGAGGGACCACCACCATGCATGGGACGGCTCAGCCCGTCTAGGATGCCCTGCGGGAAGGGGGACCACTCGTGGGCACATTCTGACTTTGAGAATGTGGAAATGGGGGGGGGATGCAACTTAAATCAGTGGAATGAGGTGTTCACCGGGGCTGTACAAGACTTGAGGATTCATCCTCACTCTCCTGAGCCTCACCCGCTCCAGGCAGAGTTCTTGCTATGCTGAGTGCACCCCTGACCCTCTGGTTCTTAGGCACCTCATTCTGTTTTTAGAACAGGTGTCCAGAAACTTTGGAGGAGTCCCCTCTCTATTGGGCCTCTGAGAAACTCCCCGGGGCCAGGGGGTAGGGGTGGGGTGGCTCTAGGATTAGCACCGGGCAGTCCACGATGTCTCGAATGTGACCAGTAAAATATCAGGCGGCCGTGGGAGCGCAGAACCTGCTCCCCACAGCAGTTCCCCGCATGGAACGGACAGAGGACCGATCCGCGTCACCTCCCCTCCTCAATTCATGGTCCGGCTCTGACAGTAACACATGACAGTCATCATTCTTCAAGCATACACAGAAGACGAGACAATCAAAGTGAAATGTCTCCTGCCCCAGTCCCCGAGGTGCCCACTTTGAACTGCTTCTGTATTTATAAACTCTAAACAGTATGCACTGCATCCCCATTAGGAAAGATAACAGATGTAGCTCACCTCTTCTCCCTGGCATGTCCTCCTTTGCCCCCTCCTGGGTTTTATTAGCTTTATAATACATATCCCTGTTTTTACTTGTTATGCTTATGGCTTTTTTTTTTTAAAGATTTTATTTATTTATTTGAGAGAGAGAGAGAGAGTGAGCATGCGCAAGCGAGGGAGGGACAGAGGGAGTTAATCTCAAGCCAACTCCCCCCGCTGAGTGCAGAGCCTGACGTGGGGCTCAATCTCACGATCCTGAGACCATGACCTGAGCCGAAATCAAGAGTCAGACGCTTAACCGACTGAACCACACAGGGCGTCGCTTTATGACTTTAAATTATATACTTAAAGTTCCTTTCCTGATTTCTATGGAGGGCAGCCTGGCCATGTCTTTCAAAATTGCAAAGCCCAGTTCTCCCATCTGGAGGAGTAGCTAAAGATACTCCAGCTGTGCAAACGGAGCAGCAGTAACCAGGATGTATTTTCAAGTAAAAAGAGAAAGTGTAGAGCAGCACATAGAGTTTTTGCTACCATTCATGAAAAAGAGAGAAAACAACGTATATGTGCGTGTCTCTGTGTCTGGAAGGTCCTATTCGGACATGACGTTGCCCAGAGAGAGGTGGCTGATGGACAAGGTTCGAACGGGGAGTTTTTACTGTAAATCCTTCCGCAACTTTAAAATGTTGAACTCTGTGTATGTATTTTCATACAGGGAGCGCCTGGGAGGCTCAGTAGGTTAAGCATCTGCCTTCAGCTCAGGTGGTGATCCCACGGTCCCTGCTCAGCGGGGAGTCTGCTTCTCCCTCTCCGTCTGCCCCTCCCCCTTCTCATGCATGCACTCACGCTCTCTCTCAAATAAATAAAATCTTTAAAGATAAATAAATAAATAATAAACAAAAATAAAAATAGCCCAACCTCTATTTCTCGATCAAGCAACTTTATTCCTGGTTCTCTCTCCATAAGATCAAGCTATGGATCCCCCCACCTTCCTTCCTTATCAGCTTCTGTTGCGAGAACCACTATTTTCACGATGTCAGGGTTTACAATCTCTACTTTCTGCCCTTACCTATAGACTGATCTCAAAAAGTGGAAGCCAGCAAATGTCTAAGGAAGCTGGTTGTCAGTTTCCTGGTGACGAGAGGCCACGTCAAGGGCAGGACCCACACTGGGGCAGCTGTCCTTGCCTCACTCGAAGTCACCCGGAACCTGCGAGGCCACCTCGCCAAGTGCAGTGTGTCCTAGAACGAGGACACACATGATTTCCATTCCACAGGAGCTGAGAGGTCACAGGAGGTCCAGGCCACCATGTACAGATCGGGGAACCCCACACCTCCACCAGCCAGCTCTCTGACCCACCCTGGGACTTGGGGTGGCACGCTCTGGGAGGCCCAAAAAAGTCCTGGCGTTCACATGTCGCTGATTCAACTTCTGGTCCCTTCCGAAACTCAGTTCATTAATAAGATTTTTCTTTTTTTTTAACGACCATTGTGATTTCTACGTGAAAAATAAAGGTGAATGTGAAAATCAGTGTCTGACAGAAGAGGAAAAACAACCAAGGTGCAGGTCAGATCTCTGTCCTGTGGGAAAAAGCTCCAAGCCAGATTTGGATGTGTGGCTGCCTCTTGATTCTGCATTTTCTGCCATGCTATCGGGGCCCCACCCAGACCAGCTCCCGGGTCCTTCTAGGTGTCCCCTTGGCGGACCTGATGGCGGGGCGCTGGGATGGCTCCATGCCCAGACAGCCCCACTGGGCATGCAGGGCCATGTGCCCCAGGACTAGGGTGGTGCTGGGCACCCAGGACAGCCCAGCATGGCAGGCCTGTCTCCTCAGGCACACTCGGGTTATGGTTGAACTGTGAACCCCCCAACCAAAAAAAGATGCTGAGGTTTTAACCCCTAATGCCTGTGAACAGGACATTATTTGGAACTGGGGACTCTGAAAATGATCAAGTTAGGATGAGGTTATTGGGGTATCCTTACAAAAAGAGGACATTTGGAAATAGTACAGAAGGAAGACATGTGGAGAGGTAGGGAGAAGACACAGCCATCTACCAGCCAAGGAGCACGGGAGGCCTCCAGAAGCTAGAACAGGTGCTTCCCCACATCCCTCAGACGACCCTGCCCACACCTCCAGGACTGCGAGGGAAAACATTCCTGCTGTTTAAGCCACCCGGTCTGTGGTACCTTGTTAGGGCAGCCGAGTATGACAGACCCCAGGGAGGTGCTCGACTCAGCCCCATAGCCAGAGCACCTTGTCCACCAAACCCAAGGACAGGAGCTGAGGGCACAGGGAGAAGCCACGTGGGTGTTGCCGGCGACTTAGGCCAGATGCCCATCCTTCCCTGCCCGTCCATCTGTCCATCCACAGGCTCTCCCACCTGAACTCCAAGGTGGGGACCAGATCCAGGCAGCCTCGGGCGTGACCCCGAGACCCGCCCCCTGAGGCTGATCCCCCCACTGAGGCACCTCCTGCCCATGCCAGCCTCCTGGGGGCATGTTCTTGCGCGCACACGTCTACACACACAGGGGGCAGCAAGGGGTCCAGGAGGCCCCTGGTGTTGGGTGGGGCCCCCCAAAGGTGACACCGCAGAAGCCACTGAGCGGGCAAGCCGGGCAGCAGAGAGAGCCCTCGGAGCTCAGGGCTACAGACGCCCTCCGCTCTCTCTGTACCCAGCGAACTCTCCTCCGCCCTACTCCCATGTGATTTCTCTGCTCCCGTGAGGATCCCTCTATTAACCTGCTAGTCACACCCCTGCTTCTGTCTGCTCTGTTCAAACAGCCCCCCGGCCTCCTCCAGGTCCTATCACGTAGGACTTTTGAACTGCAAATTTTGGACTGCAAAACTTTCAAGGTCAGCTGACCCGGCAGGTGGCCCGAGACGCCCCCCCACGCAGGGTGACTCACTGTGTGGCTTCTTGCCGGCAGCCCCACCGCTCAGTGTCTGCCGAGCACTGGGCAGCACCCGCCCCGGGGCTCCCGGATGAGACCTAGGACAGCCTGAAGATTCTGAGCACTTCCAGGTCCCAGGCGCCTGGGCTTGAAACAGGCTCATTTTCCAACCCTTTAATCAGTTTACTTGCTCTCAAAGCCTTGATATTTGCCATGCTCCCCTCAAATTGTGGGCCTGTCCTAGCCAGCGTCCGGAGGGGGCAGAACACCAACAGTCAGTCTGAGGTCTCTCCCGCGGGACCTCCCCACCGAGGCTTCAAGGGCGGCAGAGCCAGGCGCGCAGCGGGCCCGAGCCTCGGATGGCTACCTTCTGCACCTGCTCCTCCCCGTTCCTCACTTCGTCCGTCCGGACCTGGCGCTGTTCCCACCAGCAGCGTGTGTCCCTGTGTCTTCAAAGGGGGCGCGTCACACTGCACGGGGCACAGCGGGAGAGGACCAGCGTGAGCGGGGCGGGCCAGCTGCCCTTCTGGACTGAGCCAGGGCCCCCAAATTCACCTCGGAATGTGACTGGATTTGGAGACGGGGCTTTTAAGAGGTAATTAAGGCAAAATGAAGTCATTGGAGTGGGTCCTAATCCAATGTGGCAAGTGCCTTACAGGACACAGAGGGCTGGGGCGCCTGGGTGGCTCAGTCGGTTAAGCAGCTGCCTTCGGCTCAGGTCATGATCCCAGGGTCCTGGGATCGAGCCTCACCTCGGGCTCCCTGCTCAGTGGGGAGTCTGCCTCTCCCTCTGCTCGTGCTCTCTCTCGCTCTCTATCTCAAATACATTTTTTAAAAATCTTAAAAAAGAAAAAAGACACAGACGGAAGGCCACATGAGGTCACAGCAAGAACACAGCCGTCTGCGAGCCAAGAAGAGGCCTCAGAAGGGACCAAACCTGCGACACCTTGATCTTAGACTTCTGGCCTCTGGAGCTGTAAGAAAACAAAATTCCTGTTTTTGAAGCTGCCCGGTCTGTGTTCCTTGGTTACGACAGCCCTGGGACGCTGACTCGGCTGCCCCTGGCCAGTGACCCGATCAACATGTGCCATTAGTGTCTGTGGGGGGCCAGGCACCCGAGGTCCCCACAGCCTCCCTCCCAACCCACCAGCAGGCTCTGGAGGCAAAGCCAGCACTCGGCCCGGGGCTGTCTGGTCCACGGGAGGGCCACGTGGGCATGAACAGCACCTTCCCCAGGCCGCCTTGGATCGTTAATGGCACATCCTTTACCCTGATTAGCATCCTGTCTTTTTCACCATGGAAACAAGCGGCCTTCTGTCAAGTTCTAGGCTCTGAGGGCTCAGGATCGGTCCCTTTAGAATCCACCCCCCTCACTGAAGACCAAATCACCGCT